GCAACTCGGGGGTGCGCCTGGACGGCTACGCTCGCCTGGTCCAGCGGACCATCCTCTGCCACCAGGTGAGGAGCAGCCGCCGCCCCGGGACGCCTGCTCGGGACTGGGGGCGCCGGGCGCGGTGGGGCCGTGCCGGGGCCGTGCGGCGGCTGCCGGGGCCGGGGGCTGCAGCAGGGACACGAACATCCTTCCTCCGGCTGGCACACGGCCTCCTGTTCACATGTTCCGCCCCCGCCTGCGGAGCAGCACGGGGAATGCTGAGGCGGGGCGGATCCTTGGGGGTGCTTGCACCTTGGAAATCGTGTGGAAAACACAGCGAGTCTGAGCTTGTAAATAATAATAGTATCTTGTATACAGTGGCTATATGGCCATATGATACACACCCACCCGTTGTGCACACTATATATATGTATATGTGTATGTGTGTTTATATATATACACACCCACACACGGTAACAGCAGCATTGCGCCCCGGTAACATAAGAGCTCGGAGCTGGACTTAGTGCCGCGCCTGTCAGCACAGCGCGGTGCGGATCCCTGTGCTCCCCGCGGCCCGTGTGTGCGGCGGGGCACGTCCCACAGCTTCCAGTCCATTCTCCCGTTGTCCGCACTGCTGAGGCTCTGGAGCGTCAGGCGGGGCTGCCTGCACAGCAGCGGAAGAACGAAAATAGCAGGGATAGTTGGGGGAGGTTGTTGCACGCTCTGTGTTTTTTGGTCAGCACAGTGCTCTTGCTTCACCCAGGTGGGCACCGAGGACTCAGAAGGTGTTCAGCAGTGTCATGCTTTGGTTAAAACAATCTACTATTGAGCAGCAGGGGGTTTTGCACTGATCGGTTACCAAATATGCTTTGTTGATGAGAGTTGTAAGAAACTGGCAAGCAGTGAAAGAGGAGGCTGGGACCCAAATGCAGACTTTTGGTCAGTAAGATTTTTGCTGCTGGCCGTTATTTTGACCACAGGGTCCAAATACCTGAGAATTGATGTGTGTATACTAATTATAGACTCAGTAGAAACAAATGCAAGAAATGGTATATATGGTGTGAGAAGATAATTTATGGCTCTTGCTGTGCTGGGGTGCAGGAGAAGCTTTTAGTTGTGTTCCCATCTCTCTCTTTTGTCAGCAAATTACCTTGGGCAAGTCACTTTGGCTTCCAGTGCCTGCCTTAATTTCCTTATTTATAAGATGAGGATGCTGATAACAGCTTCCATTAGGAGAGACATTGAACCTCTGAGATTCAGAACTCAAACATGCCCCATGAAGGCCTTGATGATATTAATATTTAACAATAGTAAAAAGGGTATGTAAGTGGTAATACAGGGGTTCATACTGGGGACCCAGAATTTTGTAATTGCTGTTTAAAGCAATAGGATGAGTATTCATGATTGTGTATTGCCTTTTCCACTAAAGAGTCAATATCTGGGAGAATTCAGAGGTGGGGAAAGGAGGTAAGTAAGTTTTCTTCTTTGTGTGGAAAGGCTAGCAGCAAGGCAGAGGATCAGTGGTATCTCAAGAGGACCCAGAGAGATACTCAAGGCACATTTCTAGATTTTTAAAATATATATTTATAGTGTTTCTGGTTTTTTCACTGCAATAGATTGAAAATGTTGTGTTCATGTTACTTGGGCAAGTTAGGAAGGTTGTCTTTGGGCGACGTGCAACTCTGTCTTTCTTGGGATTAGAAAATCTGTGGCTGGATGGGCTTGGATGCTGCTGCTTCACTGCTGCTGGTGCCTTCTTAGTGCCTCTCAGGAAGGATCCAGGGAGGTGAGTTTTAGCCATGGGTTTGCCCAGGAGCAGCCTGGCAGAAGAACCAGGTGTTTAAAATGCTTCTGAGTTGTCGCTGCTCAGTGGGGTTGATGTGTGACTGTGACCCTGCACCTCCCATGCACAGCTGCAGGAATACAGCCTTGACCCATCAGCTGCTGTGCTCTGACAGAGGGCAGTGACACACTCACCTCTGTGAGGTACAGCAAGGGCAGCATGGAGTGTGCACAGAACACTGGGCTTTGATCAGGTGTTTAATACACCAGGAGCTAGCAGCAATCTTGTGCTCATTCCAATCACTCTAAATCAATGTGATTTTAGAGGCAATTTTTAATGCAGGATATCTGTACTACCAGGGAGATGTGTTCAAAGGACAGGTTCAACTGCACCAGGGCTGACAGTTTTCTCTGTGTGGCACTTTGCAGGATCAGGTCTGTAGCAAACCTTTTCCTGTTTTGCAGATGTTGCATTGTCCTTGTCAGTCCCTGTAACATGCACTGTGATAGTTACCATTCTGTTAAAGGTTGTAAAAGGAGGATAAGACCAGAATACTGGCTCCTGCCTGTGGGGGGCCTGCCATCTGTTGCATATACCCCCAGGGACAGAGGGGTCAGAGGAATGCTTTAGTACTGAAACAGAGCAGACATTGAAAAGCACCACCAGAAGGATGTTCTCAGCTGCTTATTACAGCTGTTGAATTGAATGACATAAGAAAAAAATGTGAAATTTCAGATTTGAAAATAGTAAAACTTAACAGCTACGTACATTTTAAGTATTGCTGTGGTACTGTAAGTGAAAAGCATATGGACCTGATGAGGAAAGCTCATACCTTTATTGGTAACCCAAACTGTGGTACAGAATCACATTGGAAGGGACTCAAAAGAGTTGTCAAGTCCAACTCCTAGCCCTGCACAGGACCGTCCCCAAGACTCACATCATGTTACATCTGGTTTCACAAGCAAATCTACAAGCCTTGCTAGAGTTTACCTCAGTTTTCCCCTGACAGATCAATGAGAACATCTGTTTATTTTGCAACTTTCAGCAAGATGCTAAATTACTTGCTTTGCTGCTCTTGTTAGAACCCCACTGGTTTTATGTCTGTCCTGCTGAAATTCTTATTGATACCTGCTGCCCTGTAGGGACTGGTGTGTTTCGTGGTTTGGGTTCTTGGGGGGGGCCTTTTTGTCTCCAGACTGAGGGATAGATTTAAAAATAGCTTTGGCATGATACAACAGTTTAAAGTCTTAGTCCAGCAATCAGCTTTCTGTTGCAGTGCTCTCAGCTGGCAGCCCATGGTGCTGATAAAATTCTTTGCTCTGTGGATCTTACGTGCAGTGTGATATGCAGGATGAGACCTGCATCACTGCATAGATGGAATGCTTGAAGTACTAGCTAAGCTAAAATCCCTTTGACATCAGTGGGATTAAGTGGGACTCAGTGTTTCTGTGGGTTCTTTAGGACCTTGTAAGCGGTGTAGTTTTCATATGGTGTCAGCTGGTAACAAAAGGAAGTACTTGTAGTTTTTAAGAGAAAACACTTCTAAAAAAACCAAAACAAAACCACTTAAAATATTAATTAGTATATTACATTGTTCTGCTAACATTCTGAATGTGCATGAGGAAAGACATTAATGTATTGTCAGTCCATGAGAGCCAGCCCCAGTGTGTTCCAGAAGCTGGGACCAACTTGTAGAGGAATCAAAAGCGGTGAAATTATGATAGCTGCCTGTGGGTGTGTTTAATACAACCTCTTGAGGTAGGCAAGTCCCTCCCTGGGAGCTTTTAAAGGCTTTTAATAGGCTTTTAAAGTCTTAAATGGGCCATTTCTCTGGGATTTCCATTTTGGTATGCAGAGGCAGTTTTATTTTTCAACTGGTAACTAGCACAGCATGGAGAGTAGGGAAAAGTATACCAAAACGGTAATTTCTCAGACAGCAGAGTGACCTCCATCAAGCCAGGGCTGCAGATGAGTAGATGTTTGTTGTCCTGCATTGGAGGGAGGAAAAAGTAGTGTCCTCTACAAATGCTGGGAGTATGTGGTCTGCCTTTTGAGGCCCTGGTTTTGTCATGTAGGCACAGTGCTGAACTGGGACTTACGTTACTCCGTGTTTGGCTTTTCAAAAGTTTTTTAAGTTGTTTGCATTCATATGTGCTACTTTCCCCATCAAACAGGTGAGCAGGTGTGCATCAGCTGTCACTTGGTTTATGAAGACCTTGCTGAGGTGGGGTTGTTGCAGCAGAACTTCATTTTTACTCTGAGTGAGCCATTAAGCATTGCTGTATTAAATCATAACAGTAGGGCTGACTGTGCCAGATCATTTCCTGTCAGGCTGTCACCCCTGTGCTGCTCAGTGGTCACATGCAGAGACCAGGAAATTGTAACTGAAACCCCATCCCCCTCAAACCAACTTTTAAAAATAATGAGTTGAGTGAACCAGTGTATGGGAGAAATGAAAAAACTGTGGATGTATGCTCCTAAATTTTACTTTCGTAAAAGTAGTCTTTACTTTTGTAATTTTTTGCCCCTTGTCTCACCAGCATCACCAACTGGTCTTCATTCACTGAAATTTTCTGCAAAGGCTTGATTTGATTGAAAGTTTTATTGACCTTTTGCCTCTTTGTCTCATTTTTTTGTTAGTCAAGAATGTACAGCCAAGAAAGACAGTCTAAGAATAATTAAGGATAGTGAAGTGATGGGAATTAATGATGCAGTGAAAAATTTAATGGAGTATTTGGGATGCAAGAGACTACTCAGTGCTCTGCTTTTCAGACAGTGCTGCTTTTCAACACCTTCAGAATCTTCTTCCTGTACATTTTCCAAAGTAGGATATAAAACATTCATTTAGCTGTCATAAAGGCAGCGGGCAGATAATAAAAATACTTTTTTAATCTCCTAGAAGATCACTAGTGGCTTTTTACTTTCTCAAGATTATGGCATAGACCAGTTACATAGACCAGTTACACAGAGGAGCATATATCCCACACTCAGTTTCTAGCATTAACTCAGTACTTTCTTTTCCTTAAAATATGTAAAATTTAAATTTCTGTTTCCTTGATGTATTCTGAATTTCACTCAGTGACTTAGCTAGTGATCCTGTGTGGATGATGTCCAGCTGGATGCTGTAAACTTTACCACCAGAAGTGTTCAAATAAATTTTGCATTTTGCTTGTGTGAGTTTGGGAAGGAAGGATGAGATCTCACTTCTGTTGTGAAATCATGAGCAGCTGCAGCGTGCACTTAGCATGAAATCATCTTCAGTTTGTTACCCTTAACTAAAGAAAGAAGTGATGCTTCTTAGCAGATGGGACTTGAGGTGGTAATGTTTGTTCTTTATTCCTTCTGCCGCGGTTAGAACCCAGTGACGGGGCTGCTTTCAGCCGGGGCGGACCATAAGGATGCCTGGGTACGGGACAACATCTACAGCATCCTGGCAGTGTGGGGGCTGGGAATGGCGTATCGGAAGAATGCGGACCGGGATGAGGATAAAGCCAAAGCCTACGAGCTCGAGCAGGTGTGTCAAAACTTGGCATAAACCAGTTCCACTGTTTGGGTTTTCTTACTGTAGTGTTTTTGGACAGTGCATTCACACTGCTGCTGTGTCTAGGATCTGGAAGGGTTTTTCCAGCTTGGGGTATGTTCCAAAGACAGCAACATCCATGCAGTGTGTTGCATGCAGCATCCCTGGCAACCTTCTGGCAAGGAGGATTTAAAGAACTGGATGGCAGAGTGGCTAACATCTGAATTTAACTACAAACAAAACAAATGTAGAAGTCAAACTTCCATCACTTGGCTGATTGTTGAAAATTAGGCTTCTGAGAGATTTGGTGCTGTGATTTACAAGCCTCTCTCTGATTAAACCTTGAGGTCCCTCATGAGGTGTGTTACGGAGCAGAAAATCAAGCCTAGGCTGCTTGGATCTTACAGAAATTTATCTGCTAGACAATTCTTCCCCATAAAGAGAAGCATGCCATTTAAAGTAGAATTCTTTGGAATGTGCACGGAGGTTGTACATGGTGTGTAGGCATGTTTGGTCATAGCAGAGAGGTAACAATCTCCAGACTGAGAATATCTGTGCTGGAGAATTGGAAGGGGACATAACTCACACAGTTAAATACCAAAATCTGCAGCTGGGAATATGAGTGTCAGAAATGAGAGCATAGACAGAGGTGGGTTAAATGGGAAGTGAGGGACTGTTGGTGTACTGCTTTTGATTTGGAGTCACTGGGTTAATTTTTTGCTGGTATGTCCTGCTTGAACCAGGGAGGTCCATGGTGACAGAATAACCTTGACTCAGTTTGCATGATAATATCTTGAGGCTGTATTTTTGGGGTGAAAAGGTGGGGTTGATTATTTAATGCACAATCTTGCACTTCTCTACATTCACATTTACAGCCCTTTCTCTACTAGTCACTTGATTTTTGTTATACTGTATAAAGAATGGAAGAAGCTCTACAGGTTTTGCAGTCATGTCAGTGTATTGAAGTCACCTACCAATGTTCCCTACATCCGTCACTCAAAAAGTTATTATTAGTATTAATATTCTTACAAGACATGGCATTTTTCTTACTTCCTTTAGCTGGATAGAAGGACCACGGAGAGTTGTTCCACAGTTCAGAGAGGAGGACCTTTGGGAAAAGACTTCTCCTAGATAGGGATGAAGGAGTAAAATCTAATCAGTGTATTAAAAACAAACAAACAAACAAAAACCCAAAAAACAAACAAAAACAAACAAAAAAACAAACAATAAAAGCATGCAAAACATTTTGGGCAAATGCACATTCTTTTTTACCTTTGGCAGGACATTAGTAGAGGGTGTGAATGAACACTTTTGAATGTTTTTTGTAAGAGCTGATGAGGCTGAAAGTGTCTCTGGTCTGTTTTGTTTCTGCAGAATGTTGTGAAGCTGATGCGGGGACTCTTGCAGTGCATGATGAGACAGGTAATGCCATAGAATTGAGTTGAATTAGTAGATATTGTATTTACAAAACATTTCATTGAAGTAGTTCTTGTGTCTTCTGGGGAGTGACTTACTTTGTGTGTGTGCAGAGGATGGTGTGGGGAGTCTTAAGACTCTTGAGCAAAACACGGACCTTGCTTCCACTTCCTGTCCAAGTAATGTTTTGAGATTGTGCTTGTAGCAAATCAGACTTTTGCCTTTGCAAACTGATTTTCCCCAAGATGCATGCCTGTAGTTTAGATATGAACTCAACAAGGTAATTTAATTGTATTCTTTCCTGTAGAGGTGTGGATTTAACTGGAGTCTAAAGTCAGAGTTTTGTTTAAGCCCTCTGATCAATCAAAACTGAGTAACAGGATTAAGACCTCAAGATTCTCCTCACCTAAGTAAAGTTGTTAATTTTGAAATAATTTGGAGAATTTCTTCTGAAATGTTTCAGATTTGAGATCTGTGATGTTTTTAGGTAGATAAGGTAGAGAAGTTCAAACGCACTCAGAGTACCAAAGACTGCCTCCATGCCAAGTATAACTCTGCGACTTGTGCCACGGTGGTTGGGGATGACCAGTGGGGGCATCTACAAGTGGATGCAACTTCCCTGTACTTGCTGTTCTTGGCACAGATGACTGCATCAGGTAAGCAGAAGATATTTTTGCCTTTTGCTGCAGTCTTTTCTATTCCAGCTTTTATTTATAAAAGGAAAAAAAAAAGTAGTAACCAGCTTCAAAGATCTTTACATAATTATTACTCAGAAGCAAGTCATGTTTCTCTGGAAAAGAGATATCCCTTACTTGGAATTTCATGTTTATAGTAATTGTCAGTGTCTATGCCCTTAGTCAAGGCATCAAATACATGAGATATTTGCAATCATGTCAGAGAAGTCTCATGTTTAAAGACTTCGTAGGGGACAGCCACATTTCTTCACAGAGTGGCAACATCAAGTCAGGTGCACTTTTGCCATCAGTGTTTCTTCTCTTACTGGTGCTGTTTCATCTTGTCTTCTTCTTAATTCTACTCCTCCTGTGAGGATAAGGATTTTTTTCCTTAAATGTTTTTCTGTCCTTGAAGCTCCTTGCAGTTGATTCTGGCAGAGCAGGCACCTCATCATCTTGAACATTCCTAGGAAGAGCACTAAGCAGGCAGAGGGCTGGGGAGCTGTAGGAATTGGTATGCACTGTCCTGGAGAGCCAGAGCTGGCTCAGGTGCTTCTGCTTTATACCCATGGTCTGAGTGTCACTCTCACAGAGGTGGTTTTTGGTTGGCTTTTGAAGCAGTCTGTATTTGTGGGGCTTGAAGTATTTTGTCAGTAGCAAGTGTTGAGGCTGCTGCCTGATCTTTGGAAACCATGAGTTTTTCCTTTGATTTCAGGGGGCAGGGGTTGGTAGCAAATAAACAAAAGCATGAAGAGTAGCTGATACAGTTCTGATACAAGATAATTATTCTCTTGTTTTGATCAGGGCTACGTATTATCTTCACCCTTGATGAAGTTACCTTTATCCAGAACCTAGTTTTTTACATAGAAGCTGCCTACAAAGTTGCTGTAAGTAGTTATTTATATGTAAATCATCTGAACACTGCTCAAGTGTGGGTGGAAAATTATTTATTGCTGGAGAAGTAAAATAGGGACTTGTTTCTTCCATGGGAAGATATCAGAACCTGTCAGTACTTTACACTGTGAGCAGTATCTTTGGAGATGTTGGGAGAGCTGTAGAGGATTTACTGCTTGCGTGGGTGAAGTATACTTGGTCTATTGTAATAATGGGGGGTTTTATTGATAATTAATGATGTGTCCTGATGTCTAATTGTAAGTCTTGTGGGCCTTTCTAGAAAGGGCTGGTTGTTAGCAAACCAAATTGAAGGAACACGGGGAGGAAGATGCACAGGAGGAGGGTTAAAGGGCATTGTGTGTTCTATGAAGGCAGTGATTCATGACTGAATATGTGATCTTGCTGGGGTATATTTTTACGTGCTACTTTTCAAACTTGAGAAGGGTCTCTTTTGAGACTTGGAGCACCTTATCACCTTTCCTTCTTTTTTTTTTTTTTTTTTTGACAAATAATAAACTAATTTCATGTAGGGGTGGAGATCTGTTGTGGGAGAGAGGGCAGAAAAGTGCTTTTGTATATAATCATGCTATTTTTTTCTTGATGATGTTGTTGCAGGATTATGGAATTTGGGAGCGTGGTGATAAAACAAACCAAGGAATCCCTGAACTGAATGCAAGCTCCGTAGGGATGGCCAAAGTGAGAATGTCTTCATGACACTTCCTTCACAGCTGCAGTGTTATGCTCAAGGGCTCTGACAAACCTAATGGCTTCCTTTGCATGGTCTTCTTGGCCACTGCAATAGGTAGCTGATTGTATAAGAATTTTTATTTAGGTGTGAGTATTTTTTAGTGTAGAATCCTTGAGATAACAGCTCTCATTGAAGGACCTCAGCACAGTTGTTCCAGGGATTGCAAGAATGGTACCAGATTAATTGAACCACAAATCTGACAGATTCAGTGAGATGCAGTCTTATAAAGTGGCCTCTGATTTTCTTTCCCTCTTCCTTAATTCTTCAGCCTCAGTGTCATATGTGATGTTGTCATGGTAAGATTAAGTCACATGTAAATTCTAAAAAACAGCAGAATATCAGTTTAAGAAATTTTCTGCAAGTAGTTTAGAGAGAAAAATAAATGAAGATATACTTGAAAGAAAGTAGACGTTTCTGGTTCCCTAATAGCACAAGATCACAGAGATACAAAATGAAGTTCAGAAGGCCATAAATGTAAATGTGCAATTGACAACTACCTCATTACATGGTGTCTGAAGGATAGACAGAAGACAAATATCATTAAGGTCAAAGGTGTATTTACCTTCCAGCAGGATTTGTTAGATTTTGTGTACACTGCAAGAGGGAGAGACTGCTGGTCTTAGCCCCACACTGATATAGGAGGCTGTTTTGGAATATAGGACAGGACAAGCATTTTCACTAAGTACATCAATATTTAGATGATGTCTCAGTGGAAACCTAGGTCCCAATTTTTTAGAATTTGCTTTAAATTGTAGAACGTATCACCAGTACATCAATCCACTATCCTACTAGTTGAAAACCAGAAATAGTTATTTTTTCTAAAATATTGCCAAGCTTCCCTTTAAAGATGAAAAAAATGTCAGTGAGGCAAACTGCTGTCTTAAGTAATTTCTTTCAGAGGTTAAGCACAGGTGCTGGGGTGTATGCTTGGTTTAAAAAATATTTATTGGTTTTGGGTTGTGTTTTGGTTTTCTTTAAAGGCTGCTTTGGAAGCAATTGATGAACTAGATCTTTTTGGAGCTCATGGAGGACACAAATCAGTGATTCATGTTCTTCCTGATGAAGTGGAACACTGTCAGGTAAAACATAGCCTGCTTTTTGCTTTACTAGGGGAAAACCTAACACCCTTTCCCCTTTGTTTATAAATGAAATGTTGATTAACTAAGCCAAGAATGTAACATAATAAGGATGGCTTCGGGCTATGCTGCTCACCCTGTTTCTAGTAGATAGGTGAAACTGAATAGTGTGAAGCATTCTCATTCTAACTCAGTTAAAAATAGCTGCACAGACTTCTCTGTCAGTTTGCAAATAGTGTAGTCTCATTTGCACTTGACATAGTTTTTTGAAGTAGGCAAATTGTTTTACATCCCTCTCTTCTGTTCTTGTCTCGTTTTTCTCAGTCTATTCTGTACTCCATGTTGCCAAGGGCATCCACATCAAAGGAGATAGATGCTGGCCTTCTGTCTATTATTTCTTACCCAGCTTTTGCAGTGGAGGATGTAAACCTTGTTAATGTAACCAAGAGTGAGATCATATCCAAATTGCAGGTAAGGATTTATTTTTGTTTTCCAAAGAGAGAAGCAGAACCTCTTTCTAAACCAAAAATCCTGATTAAATGAGGGTTGCCAGACTTCATCTCTGCATGAAGAGAGAAAGGAAGATACCTAAGTGACCCATAATACTCAGCACATATCTTTATGCTGATATTAGTCTGTGGGGAAGAAGTGTATGGGAAATGTTGTCTGTCTTTACAGGGCCGCTATGGCTGCTGTCGCTTTCTCCGAGATGGCTACAAGACACCCAGAGAGGTACTTCTGATATATATTTATGATGCATATTTTCTGTAAGCACATGGGAAGAATTTTATTTCTTCTTTGTAGACATATCTGTTTTATTTACGTGAAGGGGGGAAGTTCTCCATCACTGCTAAAACATCGTAGAGGATTTGGGGGTAATCCAGGTACCCACCCTGGAAAGGACACATATTTGAGGGAGGCTAAGGGTTTAAAAACCAGTTATTAAGGACAGAATTTAATTAAAGCATCATAAAGACCCCAGGACAATAATTCTGTAAGAATTAACCCTTAGATATGCTTATGGTGTCTAAGATGAAGTGGTATCTCTGAAACATCCCAAAATATCTTTGTGCTGAAATAGAGCCAAAATAATTTGGGAGACACTTAGATCCCGAGACTAAGAAGGATTGATTTGTCTAGAGAACCATTAAATGAGTTTGAGAGTGGATGTGACAAAGAAGTCAAGAGACTGCATGGAAACTATTTCTGGTGGGTTTATTGATTTCTGTGTTTTAATTTGTATAAAATAGGCTGCCATTATGATTGGAATACAAGCAGCTAATTTAGCACTGTGACTAAATGAATGTGGTTGAATTTTTTAGGATCCAAGCAGGCTGCACTATGATCCTGCTGAGCTCAAGCTCTTTGAGAATATTGAATGTGAGTGGCCGGTATTCTGGACATACTTCCTAATTGATGGAATATTTAATGAGGACAAAATCCAGGTGAGGAAAGAAGAAATTGCTTTCAAATTGCAAAACCATTTGCCCACATTATTTTGTAACTTTGTTCTGTGTTTGTTTTGGGCATTATTTGGATACCCCATTAACAGAGTGGAATAGTCTTCAGCCAATTTCACCTTCTGGGGAGTTCATGACACGATGGAGGCAGCAGGGTTGTGCACACTGGGGCCTGGTTGCCCTCTCCCTACCAGGTTGAGTGGATCTGTTAGCTGGGGTGGTAAAACTGGGCTGAACAGGCTTTATTTGCCTGATTTTGTCTTATCACCAGCCTTGATGCCCCTTTCACAATTACTTCAGGATGACACAAGCTTCTTTTTCCCCAACCTTTCTGGCTTGGCTGCTGAGAAGAAGATTCGTAGCACTTTCAGTCTTTTTGCACATTCAGAGAGATTTGGGATTGGCTTATGTGGGGCAATTTCATTTTCACTAATTCCTTAAGTCACTTCATGCCATTACTGTGCCAGAGACATCCAGTTGTCAGGGACCTAAATTGATTGCAGCTCTCCAAAGGTTATGGTGGGACCAGGGAAGTGTTGGTGAGCTAAAGAGCAGCAAGTAGCCAGGAGTAAATGCATTCATACCAGAATTTCTGAAGATTGGTAGCTTGAAAGAAATAAAAAATATATGTGATTTAAAATTGCCTAGTATGCAGGGGGATAGGAGATCGCTAAACTCCTTAAAAAATTGAAATGTCATCACAAACAATTCAGAGAATTTCAGACCAAAGAGCCCTCTTTCTGTGTCAGATGTTGCAAATCAAATGAAATTCCTCCTGACACTAGACACATAAACTGCTTTCCTGAACACAGTAAAAGTAGTCTGGTGAAGGGACAAATGGCATTATTTGATGAGGGGAAAAATTTACTGAAACTTCAGTCCTGGCAATAAAATACCACTTCCTGAAGCAGTCTCTAGACCTTAGTTGGATTATCTGGGACAGTATGTACCTGGTTGTTATTTTTAGTGTGCAGATGGACTGTTCTAGGGCATGGTCAGGGCAATTGCTCCCAGTTTCCACTGTTTAAACATAGCTGAATGAGTCACTGAGACATTCAGGTGAATGTCTAGTCCCCAATTACTGCTGCAAACAAATGGTTTTGCTAGAAAAATAAGCACCCTGAGGACTCAAAAAAAGTGGAGTGGACAGGATACTGAAAATATCAGTGTATTTGTGAACCTGTGAGTACCTTACTTTGAGTGATCCACTGTACTCAGGAGTGGCAGAAAAAGGATTTCTGAGGCAGGTGCTGGAAGTGCTTGAAAAGTCTCTGAGTAAAAACTTGGAGTGGATAGTTAATAAATGTAACAAACTAAGGAATCTGATAAAAAGAAAATGTATTACATCTTCTAATCAGTCTGCTATTCCTATTCCTAATACGTTGTCCAGTATCACAAGAAAAGAGGATTTGCTGTCCAGTGAACATAGATACTTTTAAACATTTAAATCTATTTAACCTTTCCTTGTGATAAAATTTTAGTCAAATCAGTTACGAGAATTTTCTGATTTCCCAATCCTGCAAAGCAGAATTCTGTAAGCCACAGACAAATGTTCATGGCATATAGCTAATAACTTATACCTTACACTCTGACAGATACTGGTAGTCTAATGTCTGTGTAACTGCACTGTCATCCATTGAAAATTGCGTGTAGGCCATGTTCCAGTGACTTTTCAATAGGAGTATATTGGAAGTTTTGTATTGCAGCAATGCGTTACAGATTGAGGACAAGTGTTCATGTTTCTGATAACACTGAGATGCTGGAACAGTCTCTGATAATTTGAACCCTGTTCTTCCATCAGCAAGTCATGATTCCTTCATCCCTTTTTTATTTTTTATATATGTGAACTTTTACTAAGAAAGTACCATTCAAGAGTACTTTGCTTCAGTTTTGCTGACTTAATGTGAATTCTCAGTCTCTTTTAAAAATAATTCCAGGTACAAGAGTATAGAGAGGCTCTGGAAGGAATACTTATTAGAGAGAAGAATGGATTAGTACTAATGCCTGAACTGTATGCAGTCCCTCCAGAAAAGGTATTGTGAAAATGCAGCGTCCACTTCAATATGCAAAGTAGAGAGAGCGAGAGGAATGTCAGTCTTAAGATTTTCCTGTGTCTGCTGAATCTAAATCAACAATAAAAAAGACTATTACACATTATCTTAAAGCATCTTCTCACAGCTCCTGCTGAGAAATGGTAAACTTTAGGCTTCCAAATGATCACATTTTTTACTTGTAAATTGGAGTGTCTGGAAATACTACAGTGGGACTAAAATTTTGCATCTTTAGAACAAGACACGTATTCAAGAAGTGTTGATAGTGAAACTCAAAGAAGAAATAAAGCATAAACTGTCCTGCCTGTCTAATCCGTTGATTGACTGTGCTGCCCTTTTCCAGAGCATGTATGGGGAGACAGGTTTCAAATGGTTAGGGTTTGGGCTGGGATTTTTGTTTGGTTTTTTTGGGTATTTTCCCCCACCTTTGCTGTTACTGTTTATCTCATTCTCCCATTGTGACAGAGAAATCCAGATGAGCTTATGTGCTCTTCCATGCTATTTGCCTTTGTATCCCTCCCTGCCAACTTCTTCTCCCACTCCAGACTTCTCAGCCCTCACTCACTAAGGGTGTGGAGCCTCCTGGGTTGGTCTGAGTTGCTCAGCCGACAGCTGATGCCTTGCTCGCAGATCTGAGGTGGAAACTGAATTGCCTTCCTAGTGGGAACAAGCGTGTAAGAGTCCAGAGCCTTCTTGTGAATTTTGATATGATATTATGATAATGATCTGAAAAACATGCCACATAAACAGGGTAGATTTTTGTCTGTCTGTAAAAGAAATATGAAATGGCTGCCTCAAGATGTAATCTGGGAGGGTTTTTGCCCTGCCCTCAGTAGATCTGTACACTGTAAAACTAAGGCAGTTTTTCTAAATTAGTATTTAGAAATTGACCATCCTTGCTAACAGAGGAAAGGTGGAATAATCTTAATATTGGAAAGCACCTTTGCTTCAGAAATCTGAGTAGACATCAGTGAAGTTAAAAGTGTCATCTTGGAAGGGGTTGGAAAGCAGATACCCAATTACCTATGAGCAGCCCAGAGGGAAGGCAGCAAAAGCATGGTGAGAAGAAAGTGGAAGAGCTAATACCTAAGCTGTAATTGCATGTGGAGTCCCCATTCATCCTCCAGCTTTGAAGGGTGGGAAGAGGTACAAAAAGGAAGTGTAGTCCTTGTCCCAGGAAATGTAGAGCCTTGAAAGTGAAACCATGGCATCTCTGTGTCAGTAGTAAGGGCAGGCTTGAAAGGGTTGATGTCTGCAAATACTTACATGTTATTGATTGCTCCTCACAACTTTAGGGTAATTTTTTTTTGCTTATGTATTTGTTTTCAGGTGGATGAGGAGTATGAAAATCCTCACTCGGTGGATCGTGTCCCAGTGGGAAAGCTGCCACATCTTTGGGGCCAATCATTGTATGTCCTGAGCTGCCTGTTAGCAGAGGTAATTATTTCTTGCATAGTAGATAAACTTGTATTTCATTTTGTTTGAGATGGCTTGGACTTTAAGTACAGTTTTGTTGACAGGTAAAGGACTGTGTGTTTTCTAGTAGGAACATGAAAGGCTGACTCTGAGCTTTCAGGACCTATTTTTTTTTTTTTTTCTAATATAGCTGTGCAATTGTCTGTTTCTAATGAAGCTCAGTAAGTTGTCACATGGTCTGGGTATATGTTTAGAATAGAAGAGTATGCTCAGGCTAACTTGGCTGTTCCAGAGCCAGGATTTTGGGCCATTTCAGCTTTACTAGGCTATTCCTTGCTCTATGGCATGATGTATCTATTAGTCAGACACATTAAAGTCAGACCAGTTAACAGAAGCACAAATATCTCTATGGAGCTGCCAAAAAAAATCACTTTCCTGGTTAAATTATGTTTGTGCTGTAACTCTGAAACAGGAATTATGAATGCAGATCGTGTCAGTCATAACCATTTTCTTGTTGTTTCAAAAAATATTGCAGCCATTGTTTCTATTGAATGTACTACTTAATGGGCAGGGTAGATAAACCAGGCTTTAAGTCCTGCTGTTTTTTATTTTGAAAAAATATGAAAATTGGTTAGGATTTATTCTATCTGTCAGAAGCCTTTTACTTGAATTCTGTTTTTTCCGTTACTTTTTTTCTTTCTTTTGCATTTGTTTTAGGGATTTCTTGCCGCAGGTGAAATTGATCCTTTAAACAGGAGATTTTCCACTGGTTTTAAACCTGATGTTGTGGTACAAGGTGAGGGAATTTTGTGAACATCTGTGTGAATTGAATCATGTGATGGCAAGGTCCCTGTGTACAGGAGAGATTAAAGATGTATTTAAAAATAATGTGATTTTTTTTTGCATGGGGCATAGATGTTTTGATGACATTATGAGAAGAAGGAGTTTGTTTGCCTAGCTGCCTTTTTCCAGGAGGGAAGATCGGGTTTAAGGCACTTTTTTAAAAAACAGTATTCATTAGAATTTTAAGATGTGTCTGGCATTGGAGAGTGCCAGACTTAATCTTGTAGTGAAAAGGAAAATCTTGGCAGCTTCTAGAAAAAAGAAGAAGGACTGGCAGGAGGTTCTTCTTTTCAGAGGTGAGGCAGCAGGAGTTACCAGCTGCTGCAGGGAGTGGCCTCTTTAGTTTGTGCAAGAACAGCCAAAACCAGAAATCAAGTAGAGAGCAAACAGCAGATCAGGTCTTAAAGATCCATGGCCTGAACCGCTCTGAAAGAGCAACCAGCTCATTTATCAGGAGCAGCCTTTGTCAAGGATACTGTGACCTGGGCTGGTGCTTGTTTACCCCCTGTTGATGCCTCATGGGACTAGCATTTCGTTATTTTGAAGTGCTTCATTTCCAACAGAAATAGAAGTGCTTATTTTTAGCATTCTTTGGCAAGTATTCACAATACAAAGAAAAGTACTGCATTAGTCCAAATCAGTAAGCCCCTTACCATGAGCAAAACTTTAGGTGGGACAAGAGATGAGTTCTGGGCCTGGATTGTAAATTCCTCTCATTAGGGATTACTTTTCTCCCTACCACTGCCATTTTGTGTCCTCTGAAATATTTATTGCTATACAAATGACAGCCCCGGTTCCCCAGTGACTTGGCTGCATTGTTATAGTGTTCTGTGTTAAAATAACAAAGATTTTTCATGTCCCTTTGCCCTTTCTAGGGGGAAGGCCCTAAAAGAGACTCTCTGCTAAAAGAGACTGTGTGATCCAAACTAGTGGTACTTTCTTTAAAGAAATCAGAAGCAACTGATTTAAGTCTCCAAGAACCTGTTTTAACCTCAGCAGCTCTGACCCTGCTTTGAGCAGGAGGTTTGAATAGAGACTTTAGAGGACTCTTTTCACCCTTCTGACCGCCTGTCCAAAGTGGACAGGAATGGCAAGAAATACTGAGAAATAGAGGATTAAAATTAGTCAGGAGCCCTATTGCAATCCCTTTTGATTTCATGAATCCATAAATTAAGAAAAAAGTGAGGCCTTTGTGCCTCTTTAGTTAGCTAAATGCATTTGTTGAGAGGTACAGTCAGTTAAAAAGAGCAGAACATTGGTATTTACTTGTGTTTCTGTTTTCTGGTACACAGTAACTGTTTTGGCAGAATCTAATCAAATTAAGACTCTTTTGCAAGACCGTGGAATCGATGTTCAGAGCATTGCTGATATCCATCCTCTCAGAGTGCAGCCAGCTCGCATCCTCAGCAACCTCTACACCATGCTGGGTAAGTATTACAACACAGAAGCCTCTTAGTGCCAGGCAAGGCACTTTTTAAGCTTAACCAGCTTTGAATTTCTGTCTTAAATACAGGGCTCAAACAGGGGAAAAAAATAACTTCATTAGAAATGGTGGCAAAAATACAAGTTTCCCTGTGCCCTTGGAGTTAGACAAAAATGGACTCTTCATTTGTCCTCCGGAAACTACTTCCACAAAGAAACTGGCTTTTGAAAAAATACCTGGAAAAACACAGAAGAAAAAAAATTAAATCTTTTTCCTTTGAGAACTTATTTGAGTCTGGAAACTGGGCAGTATGATTTTTGTCTTCCCAGCAAGCAGTCTGGGAAGTTTTCTGCTCCAAATCAGGGAAGCTGTGCTGCTATCAGAGCATCTTTGGGCTGTCAGGTTCTTGCTCAGGTTCCTCCCAGCCCGGAGCTGAGATAAGCTGCTGAAGCTCTCTGTCTCTGTTGGAAACCCAGAAGCCTTCAGGGCTTTTCTAAACACAGAACTTTAAATACATTCCAGTTCCTCACCGGTGGCTCTCAAGTCCTGCTTTCCTCAGAGCTGGAATTGACTTAAATAAGTGCCCCAAAGCTCTGACTGGTTCTAGTTGTTAAGTCTTTTCATAACTGGTTCTTAATAGTCCCTGCTGGATTTGGTACTTGGTGGAAAGTTTGTTACATGTATTCCAAATTTAACTTAGTTTTACTTCTTCAGGCATGCCAGCAACTCATGACTCAGAATTGTGGATACTGCTATGAAGTAAAATTGAAGTGGGGTGACTCAGCACTGGTCTGGAGCATGTTCCCATGGCACTTTGGTTACAGATAATGCTGTCTGCTCATGGGTTGAACATTTTTTTGTTGTGGTGGTTTTTGTTTGTAAAGTTTGTTTTTTTGTTTTAACAGGGAGGTTTTTTTGGAATCATTCAAAGTAATGGGGCATTCAGATTTGAGAAAGAATGCCCTTTACACTGAGAAATTATATATGTTGCTTCTGTGAAATAATCTGTCTCTTCACCTTAGAGTTCTTTAAAAAATTGAGACATTTGTGGGCTTTCCTGAGGTTTACATTTATTTTATTATAATTCATAATGGCTTTCTTTCTCTAGTGGGGGGGTGTGAGTAGGATGATTTGATACTTTGTTTTAAACAATGACTTCTTTGGGAATGTTCACAATAGTATTTTTTCAGGCACGTGATTGTTTGGTTCCTGTTCCCTGTCAGAAAGATTCAAGTCAGCTCTTGGCTGCTAGTGCAAAGGTTGTAGTGTGGATAATTTGCTAATAAGCTCTACTGAGAAAACTGAAGCTTATTAAAGCCTGATGAAAATCTGTCGTTGTATTTGGATGTACTCTGTGTGTTGGTTTAGCCTGCAGGCATCAGTTTTTAAGGTCCTATATTTGAAAACACTAGGATTTCTGGGTTATGTTGATGGCCTTGTTTTTGTAGTATCTGATCTCCTGTCCTTGGGTACTGAGCAATTATGGTAATTATAAGACCACATCCATGGTGAGCGAAGCCAAAATTTTAATTTTTAATCAGGCCTTTGAAGGACTCTGGCTGTTTGCTACAAAACCAGTTTGTAGCCTCACACTCTGTTACTGGTTTTGTGCCTTGCTGGTATTAGTGGAGTAAGTTTTCCTGTCTAAATTGGTTAGTTTGAAAAACAACAGAGAAAATGTTAGCTGAGATTTTTTTTATTTCTCTTTCCTTTCCAGGCCGGAATAAGAACATGAAATTAAGTGGCCGACCACATCGACACATTGGAGTGTTGGGCACCTCCAAGCTCTATGTGATAAGAAATCAAATATTTGCTTTTACCCCTCAGGTAAGCACGTAAAATTGGCAGGAAAACCACTCCTTTCTTAATGGTGAATCATTAGTGAAGCACTTTGCTTTTCCCTGCTGTCATTGTACCTTAGGTAAAACAGGGCTGACACAGCAGATGTGCTTTACTCTGTAGGGTTTTTAAGAGCGTGGGGTGATCAGCATGGTAGAAGTGCTGATAAATCTCTTTTCCATATACAGAGTCTGGTTTCTTTGGCTTCTGGTTTAGGAGAACACAATGAATCAATAGACAAAGTTGTTACTGATCTCTGCCCACACCAGCATTCTAATTAATGAAATAGTTTCTGCAGAAATAGATCACTTATTGTATCTTTCTACCGATTGCTTTGATGATAAAATTAGTACCACGTAAGTCTGCCAAATACCATAACCCCTAGGAGGTAAAGCTGTGATCTTTTCGTTATATTGTTGAAAGGGTCACTAGTGCTGAGAAATGGATGTTCTGTCTTTTTCTCTTTAGTTTTTTCAGTGTTGCTGGAAGCTTGGATACTCACAGAATCAATGGCCTCCTGTTTATACATTTAATGAAATGCACCACACTTATTTCAATACAAATATTCCAGCAGTTGGTACTAAATGGCGAGGGAGTGACCTGCTCCAAGCATGTACAACTGATGCAGGATAAAGAATGCATCCACCCTTCTAAACAGATGTTTGACTAATGAAGTCTTTAAACTCTGGCTGAAGGCATTCAGTGGACTCTGTAGAAGGCTTCTGTACTACCTCATAATGTCCAAACAAATCAGATACTGCAAAAATTCTAGATCCTTTCTCATTCTTCCCCATGCCAGTTGATCACAAGCACCTTTATAGAATGTTGTGTTACTTCCTCCCTGTGCCAATTTTCACTTTTGCAAATAAGGGAAAAATTCCTTAGAGCTGTGATTTTTTCCAAAATATCTCTTGGTACACATCTTACTATGTAAGTAGGATCCAGCATTCCCTCTAAAATCTTGTCTTGTATCGAGTAAGGACATATTAGGATATTCCAAAATGGCATTTATCTTTATATTTAGCAACACAGTGACAGTTCCTGCTTATGCCATGGTTTACTAAAACTCCATAACATTTTCCATTGTACTTTGAAGCCAGACACTTCCCCTGACTTTTTTTTTTGAGGTGGATGAAGTTAATGTTTAATGTCACCTTCCTAAGGTTAGCAGTTAAATCATCTTGTTGATCTTGACTAGTGTCCACAAATTTTGTGATTTTGTCATTTGTATTTCATTCTTTTCTAGTGAAAGCATTGATTAGGTGTGGGGCAAAGGCTGACTTCATTCAGATACAGTAATTCTGAAAAAAATGGTTAATAACTACATTTTGAGAACAGTTCTAAAAGTTCTGTTTCATAGGATGTTTTTGTATAGCTCACTAGTGTGAAAATTTGAAGAAGCTGGCAGGTGTCAGCCATTTTCTTTTACTTCCCAACTGGTTGCTCCAAAGAAGGAAATTGGACTAATCTGTTGATATTGGTTTTTGACCATCTTACTTGTTCATTTTGTAATTATCTTGGCTGTATCAAATTGCCTTTATTTTCCTTTGTTTTCATGCACTGGAATTGGGCTTTAAATGGCTCTTCCTTTTTAAAGACAGGCAGTGTGTTTCCTTGTCTCTGGATTTCTGGGACTTTTTCTTCTTGAATTACCAAAGCTAATTGTGAGTGGCTCAAGGATTCTTTTGGCTAGTTCCTGATTCCTCCTGTGAAGAAATTTCTCTGGACTTTATCAGCTTGAACTTCCATGTTTTTTATGCACTTAGTCCTCCCCAAGGCTTATGGGCTTTCTTAACTTTTGTTGTGGCTGCTTTGACATACTTTCCATTATTTGTCCAGCTTCTTTTGTTCCAACTCTTGAAGTAGCCATAATAATCTCTTACTGTGTTTCTTGGCTTCCTGAAGCAGTGGGAGTAGAACTTTGCAATTGCACATCTCCTGTACCTTTTTTCCTCAGTAACTGCCAGCTTTTCTGTATTCTGCTTGACTCTCAAATGGTTCCCAGGAGACATACAGTTACTGGCTCCCAGTGCCCAATGTGCACTTAAGCCTGTTTATTGTTTTTGTTACTATTGTTTGCTTTTTTCCCACATTTAGAGTACTGCCGTCTTCCAGATCATAGGTCAGTGTAATTGGGAAGATTCTGCTTCATGGCTGTGATTACTTAGGTTTTGTTTGTATGGCTTACTTTGATGTTCAGTCTACAGGTGTAAGAAAATGGACTCTTGCACAAGCATGGATTTCTTTTTTACAATCTGAGGCCTTGTTAGGTTAATTCAGGTCATTTTTGTTGTGGTCAGGAGTAGCTCACAGAGCTTTTTTGAATGATTTAAGGGAGGGAATAGAAAAAAATAAGGACAGCACTGACAACTACCCCTATGTTGTGTTTTTCTCTTCTCTAGTTCACTGACCAGCATCACTTCTATCTGGCTCTAGACAATCAGATGATTGTGGAGATGCTCAAGACAGAGCTGGCTTACCTCACTTCATGCTGGAGGATGACAGGGAGACCAACCTTGACATTTCCCATCACCCACACAATGCTTGGTAAACTTAATTTTCTCTGTTTCAAGCAGAGTAGATTACTGCAGGAGAATAGGATGGACATTGGTTTGAGAGGAGACAGGTAGCAGGACTTCTAACATCAGAAGTACGATTTAATTTTCTCATGTGTACGCTGAATTTGGATGACATGGTAATATATAACTTTGGTTTTACGCCCTCTTCCATCACCCCATCATCTGCATGCTATTTCTGTCTAAAGAAATTTCATAGAAATCCCTTTGGAACTTGTCTTGAGAGGGTTGGTGTTTGTCTTTAGAACTTGTCTAGGGGTTGTGTTTTGTTTGCTTGTTTGTCTGGGATTTTTGAATAAGCTAATATTGATAGCACATAGGGGTTCTGCCTTAAATTTGCCTGATTGTCGTAGACAACACCCAGTAATTCACTGTATTTGGATGTGATAATTTAAGAATGTTGGTGAGCTTCAATTCTTCCATTATTCTTTTTTAGTTGATGATGGTACTGACATTCATCCAGCAGTTCTTGCCACAATAAGAAAATTAGAAGATGGTTATTTTGGAGGTGCGAGGTAATGTCAGAATCACCAAATTATTATCTCCATGATTTTTAAAATTAAATCCTGTAAAAGTCACAGTTTTGAATTTGTGATAGTGCACAGACTTTTTACTAGAATTCTGCAGAGAAGGAAGTTTCAGCTTTTTTATTTTGTGGCAATCAAATGGTAGCTGGACCTCAGGTGCAATGGAAAAGATACGTCTCCCAAAAAGTGTCCTATCTCTGACTGCCATTAATGAACAAAGAAAACTAACATCAAATTTTGGAAATGTGAAATCTTGACTCTGGATGGCCTTCTGTTATTAAAAAGTAAATTATTTTCACAGTTACTGGACATGATTTTTAAACATTGCTTGCATGTAGTACTTGTAAGCTGGTGTGTTCCATTCATCTCTGTGTAAAATACAATGCCACAGTACCTCCCTATTCTTTTTCTACTTGCCCTCTCAACCAGTATCTTCGACAATCAAATATTGTCGTGACTTAACTCCAGTCAACAACTCAGCCCCACATGGCCACTCACTACCCTTAGTGGAATCAGGGAGAGAATTGGAAAAACACAAGTGAGAAAACTCGTGGGTTGCAATAAAGAGAGTTTAGTAAGTAGAGAAAAAAAACCACACATGCTGGCAGAGCAAAATGGGAAATTCATTTACCACTTTCCATGGGCAGGTGGTTCTTCAACCATCTTCAGGAAAGCTGGACTCCATCAAATGTAACTGTGGCTTTGGAAGACAAACCCCTGTATCCCTGAACATGCTCCCCTTCATTCTTCTTCCCCTGGCTTTATATACTGAACATGATACCCTATGGTGTGGAATGCCCCTGTGGTCAGCAGGTGTCAGCTGTCTGGCTGTGTCCCCTCCCAGCTCCTTGTGCACCCCCAGCCTGTGCTGGTGGAGTGAGGTGAGAAGCAGAAAAGGCTGGGATGCTGTGTAAGCCCTGCTTAGCAGTAACTTATACATCCCTGTGTTATCAGCACTGCTTCCAGCACAAATCCAAAGCATAGCCCCATCATTAACTCTTATCCCTAAAACCAGCACAGATGGTTTAGCAACTTCCAGTTCTGTGAAAAGACACTGCTGTTCATGGGGCCTTCTCAGGTCTTTGTTCAGGGTCTCTCTTTATATGAACATACAACACCCTGCATAATTAGGCTTTGAGTTAGGCCTGTTACCATAATACAGTTAAAATCAATTAGTACCTGGAGCGGTAAGTCCCCAGCTGGATCTGCAACTGTTGTTTTCCTTTTTTATTTTTCAGTGTCAGTTTATGTGACTTTGTAGTTGCCAAAGGTGGATTGAACAGTAGGTTTCATAAATTTTGGAGGAGTTGTTGAAAGCTAAGTGAACATTAATCGGTATCAGAATGGTGGATGTTAATGCTGCTTGGCACATGTCCCCTTTTGCAGAGTGAAGATAGGCAAGCTATCAGAATTTCTTACCACCTCCTTTCATACATATCTGAGCTTCCTGGATCCAGACTGTGACCTAAAATTGTTTGATGACAGTAATGACAGCTGTAATAGTCCTGACAGTGAATATGGAGACTACCCAGCAGATTTCTGTGAAAAAGGTAGTAGTGTTTTTTGACTTGGTATTTTTTTTCTCTGTCAAGTTCTATCAGCAGAGCCTGGGCTTGCCTGCAGTACAGAGTCTGTTCTGTGCACAGCTGATGGTCATTTGGTTTTTCATTCATCCACCCGAGGACAGGACCTGCATGACTCAGTTTGGAGAATGATTTCATGTGTGTTCCTCCTGCATTTGTAGTATGGCATTGACTCACAACTGCTACAGCAAAGCTGAGTCTGGAGAGTCAGCAGGTGGGAAGTTGTGGAAGAAGTTAGAGGGAAGAAGACTGTGAGGAGTCATGGACAAGAGCTTGTGTGGAAGAGTCTTAGAATCATACAAGTTGGAAGAGACTTTTACAGTCATCAAGTCCAGCTGTGTTGTATGATCTACCAGCAAGATAAAACCCCTTTTGAGTCCTTTCAAAGGCAAAGCTAGCTTCTAAATCTGTTTTCAGTGTCAAAAACAGATTTTTTGTTTTAATTTTTTTTTTTGCTTAAAAATCTCTTCCCTATACTATTCTTGCATATTTGACTGCCCTTATAAATAAGTAAGAATATAGTGGTGTGTTTGAATAAAAAAGTGATGATGATAAAATAGTGATTTTTACCTTAAAGAAATCTTTCTCTTTTTTTAATGTATGTTACACTAGATAGCCAGGATGAGCTGGATCAGTATATAAATGATGTCCTGCAGAGCACAGCACTGAAGTCATACCTGCCTCCAACTTCAAAGACAACAAGTCAGCCACCTGTGTTCAGTGCAAATCATTCCACAGAAGAGATACTGTCAATAATGGCCAAGACAAAGGGCTTGGAAGTTCCAGGTATTTCTTTGTATTGTTTATTTAGTGATAATAATTAAAAAACCTAGTTTTGCTGCTACAAGGGGTAAGTTCAAGTATTTCAAAGTTATACCTTTTTGACATACTTGTGCTGCTGGTTCTTTCTGTATAGAGAAGAAATGAGAATTTCCTTAAGTAAGAATGACTGAAGCTGCTGCTGTCATGTTCCCACAGTATCCTGTATCATGGTGTATACGTGCATGTAAAATCTGCAATGAAATGTAACATTTAATCAAAGTTAGTGTTATGAAACTTGCTACAGCTTCTTAGTTGGATAGAATTTTAGAACCCAAAACAGTTAATTAATTGCTTTGACTTTGTTTGTATGAAGGCTGACAAAATGTACTTTTTTATTTTAATTAAGTTGCTGTGAAATTAAATGTTTCAATACAAGAAGAGCATAAATATTCACATGTACTTTCTAAATTTGTAAGAACAAATGGAGTATAGAGAGAACACAGTCTTTCTAATTATGCTACATTTCTGATAGTCTGATTGGAAAATATACACCAAAATAAGACTTTGGCTGGATTTCTAAACGGATTCCAACATATGCAGTGTTTTATATGTAGATATGTAGTATTCAATGCCCTGGTCAATGGAAGACTTCCCTTAACTTCAGTGTAAATTAATAAATTCCAAGCTTTTTTGTTAGTCTTTTCATGTGCCACATCATCTGATCCTCCATTGAATTTAGCATATGAAGTTGACAGAGAATTAACCTGCATTTAGCATTATAATTTTAATTATGAAATCTTACCAGTTAGGCCAATTTCTCCACTCATTTCCTGTTGAAACGTTTAAAATACCTGGCAGGGTCAGGTCATTGGGCTGCAGGATTTCATGGGCCAAATAAGAGGTATCAGTTGAGCATGTAGCCCCTGAGCCTTTGACATGCTGATCTCAGAAATTCTCCAAGCAGCTCTGCATGGAGATAAGGTTTAGAACATGAGCTTGTCTCAGAGTTCCATGCACAGCATCTCAGAAGCACTGCCTCTGTATTTTGACTCTTGGAGGTATTTCTGTTGTTTTTACCTAGTCAAACTACTTCATGTAGTATTTCTGATTTTCATGTTACTGAAACAGACTTTTTTTTTTCTTTCTGTTCTGGTGACTTTGCCTTCCAGCTATGTCTATGTCTCTTCCCACTAAAGTTCTGAACACACACCGAAAGTCTCTGAATCTTGTTGATAATCCTCATTTCTTTGAGACAAAGGTAAGGTGTGGGAATTTTTATGTTGTTGTGGTTTTAGGAAGCAATGCTGCAGCCTTTCCTCATGTTTTCCTTCCAAACCCTATGCCAGGTCTCATTTTTCTTCACAGACATGCCATTCTGTCCAAAGGCATTCCCTTATTTTGGAAATTATTTTTTTGACTGGATGAAGATTTTTTAGTCAAATAGACACTATAAAGTGGAAAGGTTTAATTGCATGTGCAAAACAGAAAAGAACATTATAGTTGCTTTATTTTTAAAAGCCAAAAGTTAAGTCATTGTCTTTGGTTTTAGCTGAACACGAGGGGAAGAACAGGATGTTCACAGCCTTTAGAGATGTTTTCCAATAAATGCTACTTATAGTAACATCTGGGCAAAAGGAAATGTGTGAGTGTCCTTAAGGCACCAGCAAATCCCCCCTCAAGGCATGAAGATGGGGTTGTGCTGGGAACTTGTTTTGTCTTGGTATATGTGACCAGCTGCTGAGAACAACTAAAAGAGTTTGTATACAGCCTCCTGAAGGATTTTGCTCTGCACAAGGCTGTGTTTGTGGAAATGGTATTCTAGGATTATATAAATTGATGAACAGCTTGTTAAACAAAACTTTTTTTCATCCAAGAACTCATCATAGGATTAAATTATCTGATTAGTTATCATTTTACTTTCAAAAGCTTGGAAAATTTATAATGGCAATATTTGCATTCATAAAGCACCACTTACATACAGTTTAGAGATGGAACTCAAAAAGCTCTAAATTATTTCAGTGAAAAGAAGGATATATCTCTCTGCTTTTCTCTTTACAAGTAACATGAGATGACAGGAAAAGCATGCAGATAATTCAATTTCTTCGTTTTGTCAAAAAATAAATACATACAGGGTTCCATTCTGGAGGTTGTATTTCTTGGGATTAGTCTCCTTTCTGAGCCTGCAATACCCTGGCAAGAGCTAGCTGATGTGTCTGTATTTCAAGTGCAGAGCTTTGTTGCAAGTCTGTTGAGATTTTTTTAATGGGAAATTTGAAGTTACAGAAAGTTACAGATCTACTATTTACGAAGTCATGTCTTTTGATTTTTCATCCATCTTTGTTACCAGGACTGTGAAAATGTTTTGCGCTTACCTAAAGATGCTCATGGTGATTTGGATTGCAGGAAGCTTGTTGATCAGCTGAAGGAATGTCCAACACTCCATGATCAAGCAGATATCTTGTATATCTTGCATATACTCAAGTAAGTTGCCTGAGTATGAACTTCAGCATCTTTAAGTTTGGTCACAGCTATCTGATTATTCTTGTGCAAAAGGTTCCACTTTTCAGGTTGTGTTTTGAGGGGACAGTAGATATATTTTGTGCTTTAACAAACACATTTTCAGTTAGTTTGATTACAGGAATTATTTGTATACAAAAGAAGACTTGTGCAAATTTTACAGTTGATTGGCACACAGCTGCAAGTACATAAAGTCTCCAGGGTTCACAAATTATATGCACAAATCCTTTCCATGAATGAGAACACACCCTGCTGTATTTGTATCGCTCCATTTAAAGTTCACAAAGATTTGGTGTGATCAAGAATGAAAGTGGAGGGAAAATTCATCTTGTAATTTTCTAACTAAAAGAGAAATGCAATTTTAATGAGTGTTCACTATTTTTCCTCTAATACCTTTGCATATTTAAGTATACAACTGGTTAAAATTTGGTACTTTTTAAAACATTCTTGGAAGCAGTCTGAACCCATCTGCTGGGGTTAGTAAACACCTGCTATTTAAATTGGTTTGATGGGAACAAAATGCAATTACAAACAACTGAATCATCTTCTGCAGTGTGTTTATTGAGCTCTTTTTTATTCCTGTGCAGGACAATACTGCTGGAACCTGTCAGGCAGTTAGCTTTTGGTGCAAAGACAAGTATGTGTTAATCACAGATGGTCTTCCCTACTGCTACAAAGACTGCATTTTTGTTTATTTTAGTCTGTCTCCTGTGAGAACCTCTTCTTTGATCTTCTTGACTTCCCAAGCAAAATGTTAAGCATCCTCTTTAAAGTGTAAAGGAAATCCTATAAAAAATATGTTTTGTTGTTTAACTCCATCTAACAACATTAATTTTACCAAGAGAGACTTTGTTGGTCAGGCAGATGGACCTCTGGTGGTCTCTGTCAGCAGGATTTGAAAACTCATTCTGTGACACTTCAAAACATTACCAAAGAGAACCATAATGCAGTGAATTTCAAAACCAGGAGAGGAACAGAAATCTCCTTTGCTTTTTTTCAGTAATGGCATAAGCAACACAGAAGTTTAATTAATAGCTAAGAAAGAGGAAAGGCAAAAAAATTGCCCTGAAAAATGGGTGTAGTCTTCAACAGGCAGAAGATACTGTTGAATTCTGCTCTGAAAAATCACCACATGGAATGTTCCTCTAACAAAGTGTCCATGTAAATGCTCAATTTAAAGTCTAGTGGGAAATCCTTCAGGTGGTTCCTTTTCAAGTTGCTGACTCACAGCTGAGTGAGTGCTGAGATTAGTGTGAAGGTTCCTGGTATCAAGAGGATTTTGTCCACATATAATCAGTCTGTGGTGAAGACACAGATATCCCATTTGGTATTTAATTCTGTCACCAACGTGAGCAAGGCTGTCAAAATCTACCTCAGTGGTAAAGTTTAGGATCTTGCCTGATGACAATTACTTCCTGTTTGTTTTGTGGCAGAGGTGCTGACTGGGACACAGAGCTGGATGGACAGTATGGTGTCACTGTTCACTGCCTCCTCAATGAGCTCTACAGAAAGGCAGGCCTTCATCAGGAATGGGGCTTAATCCGTTACATTTCTGGCATCCTCAAAAAGAGAGTTGAAGTCCTGGCTGAGGTATGAAATACAAATAATCCTGGTTCAGCTTCCTGCCTGGGAACAGAGATAAAATTATCAGTTTGCTGTTGGGGTTTGTGCTTGTCCTTCTTCTAGTTTTACTTTACAACATACATAATGCAGCATTTTTAATCAAGTATTGGTGGTTTTTCTGATCTAGAGTCTTACTACATCTTTGTTTTTCGTCTGTACTGCAAACTGTGCTAATGTTGGCATGGACTGAGAATGTCACACTAAATAGTTGTGAAGGCTTCATCTCTATTAGTTGGAGAAGCTTAATTGTGTGCTTTGAAAGCTGCAGTTGTCACTCACTGGTAATTGTGTATTGCTGTTGTGATGGTATGAAAACTTTGGGAACACTGCTATGTCAGGGTGCTAGTGATGACACAAAAACATGTCCTGCCCATTTCCATCCCCTTGGACAGTCTGCCTTGTGAATGGATGTTTGGAACCATTAAATATCTATAACTATTAAGTGGTAACAAGAAAAATCCACTGCTAAGAGTACATATATGGTTTTGATCATTACGAAAAGGTTTCTTCTCAAGTATTCTAAAAGTAGTTGTTTAATTTTCTAGTAATTCCCAGCATATTTCTGAGAGCTCTTTCTGTAATTCCTGGCCATTTTCAAGGCTCTTTGTCACATCTAGGATGCCTTATTTTAGTGGCAGTCCTGTCTGTGAGGAGCAGTTCATGGTAATCACTGTGCATGGTACTTCATTAAGCACAGCATTTTCTCCCTTCTCAAGACACAATGGATGAGCAGTATGGACATGCTCACAAAAAGCCATGTATGTTGAGAAGATATTGACAAAGAATTGGGGAGAAGAATAGAGAGGATTTGTTTTCTTCCATGTTAAGGGAGTGAAAATAGATTCTTCAAAATCAGAGGAACACTGCTCTGTGATGTTTTTTGTTTCAGGACAGGTAAACTGGTAAACAGAACACCCCCTTTTAAAGGAGATCAAAATATAATTTCAAAATGTATCAGGAATGTGATGCAGTATGCTAGGCGTTTGTTTCAGGGGATATATTACTATACAGGATTTTTTAAACTAATGCTGCCAAACTTCTCATTGATTAAAAATACTGTGTTAAATAAAGAACAAAAGTTTATCATATGATAAAGGATGAAAGCCTTTATTGATCTGCCAACCCCAAAAGAGTTCTAATCTCATCATTATGCTGCTGATTTCACTGAGCAGGGAAACAGGCCACTTTCATCAGGGGCAAACTCATCGCCCTGTTGACCTCAGGAGATTTTTGGAAACTATTTAACAGCATTCTGCTGGATTTGTATGTCTGGTAATAAATAGAAATGCATTTAAAAATTGCTAAAAAAATTGAATTAATTTAATTTGGTGAATTAAAAGCCATATCACTTCCGCATGACTCAGAGAAAGTCTTTTTTGTGCACTTATGATAGGCATGCACAGACCTTCTGTCACACCACAAGCAACTTACAGTGGGCCTGCCACCAGAACCCCGTGAAAAAATCATTACCACGTAAGTTGGAGCTCTGCCTCAGGCACGGACTGCCCTTCACCTTCCTACTGGTACCATTCTGCTGCTATTACATTCTTTTAAACCTTATTCCTTGTCCTCAAAAGGATTTGCAGCCACCCAGGTAGAATTGTAGGCACCTTTGTCCTGGGTGATTTGATCCCAGTGCTTGTTGAAGAATTTTAATAGCTGGTTATGCTGAGTCACTGCTACCTGTGGTTTGTCTTCTTGCAGCCCACTGCCACCTGAGGAGCTCACAGATCTCATTTATGAAGCTAGTGGCCAAGACATCAGTATTGCGGTCCTGACACAGGTATGCAGTCTGTACAAAAAGACTTCTTGGACTGTGCCCAGTGGTGTGCCAGTGTTTGCTCTGAGACTGGGGAAGCCATGAAGACCCACTCTGATGGGTGCCTTTATGGATTTGTCCTTACAGGAGATAATTATGTACTTGGCAATGTACGTCCGGTCACAGCCCAGTCTTTTTGTGGAGATGCTCAGGCTCCGTTAGTTCATATGTGCAGTTACCTGCACACCTTGAAAATCACTTTTTCTTGACTTAATCAAAAATTTCTCTTCCCCCAGCACCCACTTACTCAAAGAATAATTTAGATCCACATGTCATCTGCTCTAGGGAGATGACTGTAATACCTTTCCAAGTGGTCTTGTTCTATAAGGGAGCATCTGCTTTCTCATCATAAGCTTCAGTGAAATTTTGCACAAGCTATGACATAATAAAGATTCACGCAAACAGTGTTATTTCGATGGAGTGTTTGTTTTTTAGTCCTGAAATACACTTTCTTTGAAATGTGACTATGTATTATTTCTTTAAAGGAAGGGCTAGCCAAAGAGTTAAATGTGATTTGACTTCATTCACAATTTTGTTAGTTGGCTTTATAGCTTGTTGTATTCTCAGTGGCATTTGTCATTTTGTTTTGTTTTATTTTGTTTAACTAGGTGAAGAAGCTTCAGAGAGCTTGATGAATCTAAGCCCCTTTGATATGAAAAGTCTTTTACATCATATCCTCAGTGGGAAAGAGTTTGGAGTGGAAAGGAGCTGTAAGTTAATCACTTTTATATATTAAGTTAGGTTGTCTTATAAGTGGGGATCTCTTTTTCTGCATGTAGAAGAAAGGTATAGGTAATGTATTAATCATGGGTGACCAGTAAGGTGTATGTCAGTGTGAAATAAACGAAACACATATCCTGGAAGCTATCCTGCACTGAAATACAATTGTATCAAGTTTTCAGTAATATGAAGGCAAACTTTTAAAATGAGGAAATTTTATGGAACCAGAACAAAAGCCATTAAAAGGTCATGTCTAACCTGCCTTCAAGAAGCATGTCTTTGATTTCCACACATTCCTGACCTTCACATCAGCTGTCTCCTGGGTTCCTCTGTAGACCCTCAGAGACTCGTTGCAATTCTGACTAAATTTACAATTGCTCACTGTCTTGGAAAATCAGTTTCTGATATCCAAGACAGATTTATGTCCCTTACTTGCTACAATCAGGTTTGAACTCTTGATACGATTCTGCAAAAGGATGCTGTCACCAGGAGCATTGCACGTTTCTAAAATGATTTGTGTTTAACTTCTTAGATACAAATTCAACTATTTTTCTACCCCTGGAATGTTAAAAATGTCTATTTGCTTCTTTAGTGCGACCTGTAGATTCTTCATCATCTAGCCCTGCAATATCTATTCATGAGATGGGACATTCTGGAGCAACCAAAACAGAAAGAAGTGGTATTACTAAATTGAAGAGTGAGATGAAGCAGGTGAGGGTTTCTGCCAATGCTCATCAGAAAGTACAGCTGTTCTGGAACTGTTTTACATTAGGTTTTATTCTTGCTAAATAACAGAAATTTCCAAAGTTGCTTTGATTTTAAAAATGATCACTAAATAGAAGGCAGTTAAGGGATGTTTCTTCCAGAAATGTTCTTCCTCTTTTGTTCTTGTTTTACATGCTCAGTGTAGAAGAATTTGACTACAAACTGTAATGCAGTGATGGCGCACACTGTAAAAACAGCTCTTCTATCATGTTTAGCTACAGAAAAGTCAGATGTACAAAGAGAAGCTAGAGAAGCTTTTATGCAGTGTTCATTCTTGTTCTTGGCCCAAGTTGCAAAATAGGACCCCATGCCTTTTGGAAAAGATACATGTATGTAGAAAAGGAATCTTCTTTGTTTTCTTCGGTTCTGTTTCTTCAGGAATAGAGGATGATTGCTGCTAGTTTTTTTATATATATATTCAAGTTCAATACTTTATACTTCAACAGAGTATATGGAGAGATCACAGAAAACACAAACAAAATACTCTGAATGAATGTGACTGATGGTTTTGTTATGAGTGGTTTGATTTCTGTTTTGTGTCTCTATTAGTAATTTTCTTTTGCTTTGAATAAATAGGAAGGTAGTGGTCAAATAAAATACATTTGTCAGAATGGTTCTGGTTTTCCTCATGGATTATTCAAACTGGAGAGAGAAAGCTCTAAGAGACCTTTTTGCAGCCTTGCAATATATAAAAGAGGCTTAAAGGAAAGATGAAGTGGTGCTTTTTGCCAAGGCCTGTAGTACAGGATAAGGGGCAACAATTTTAAACTGAGAGGGTGGGTTTAGATACAAGGACACCTTTTCACAGTAAAGGGGGAGAGGCAGTGGAACAGGTTTCCCAGTGAAGTTGTGGATGCCCTGTCCCTGCAAATGTGTATGGTCAGATTGGATGGGGCTTTGAGCAGCCCCGTGAAATATTTGATGTTTTCCTTTGATGGATGAAACAGATTGAATAAGTCTTCAAAAAGGAATGGCATTTTTACATGGTCTTATCATGAAGCATTTGCTGGTGGCAGTAAAGATCACTTAATGATTTTTCATGGGATATGGTCAGGCAGGGAAGCAGAGAGCTGTGAGGAACACATGATGTTTCCTGTGAGACCTGGTTGCTGTGTTTGAGCAGTGCCGCTGCTGGAGCATCATTGTGGATGAGGGGGAGGCTGTGAAGGTGCTGCCAGCTGTGCTGCACTGGCCCTGAGGTGGCCTTGCAGGTCAGTCTGAGCAGGGCTCCCAGTCAAATGGAGGTGTCTGGGTTCAGGGCCTTTCCAGGAAGGAGGAGGGACAAGGCACTAGATGGCAGCATTATTTTGTTTGAAATACAGAGGTGGGCCTGAGCTTCAATACTTGGACCTCTCTTGACATTAGAAACATAGTTCCTTTGTTGCTTTCACATTCCACAGAAACTTGGTATTTTGCATGGAGGAGGAGTTGGCTGGGCTTATTTTTGTACCACCCCCCACTTTGCCTTTCCTGCTGCTTCCTGCCACATCTCACTGCATTCTCTGAATAATTGACTAGCAGCTAGTGTTGACTAGCAGCTAATATAATGACATTTTGGCAAGGGGTTGGGTGGGGTGGTGCAGGATACACTTTGTTGTAACAAGGAATATTTCAAGTACTTGTAACATCTCTGGACTTGTTCAGCAACTGCAGCTCCCTCTATTGTGGCTGTTCTTGAGTCAGAACCATTGACACTGAATGTGATGGCATGGATTGGGGTGGACAGTTAAAGAAAAGAGCTTAAAGTCTGAGGTTCTGCATCTACATTTCAGCAAAAAAATTGCCTTTAAGCTTTTTGTTTAGTGCTCCCCATCCAGTTGGCAGCCTGCTGTCTCTCCAGCAAGATGATTTTCTCATGCAAAGAGAAGCTGGTGGCATTACAACAAATGGGAAATGGAAGTAGGGAGCTTGCTTTTTATCTCAGCCCTGAGTCACAGGGAAGCTTTTGCTTGCATCTTAAACTGGTGGTTTGTGCTGGCCATGCTGGGAGCATTATGGATGGCATAGGCTGCCAAACAGGGTCCTGGCATGGCGGGCTCTGCCTCATGGTGACCCTGGGAATCAGCAGCAGATGCCCTGGTATCAGCTGAAGTGCAGCCCTGAAAGAGGCCAGGTATTGCTGCAGTTTTTCCCTGAGTACCAAGGTTATTCTGTATTTCTTGTCTTTGCACCTAAGTGTTACCTAACCTTGTCTGTGTTCTGTTCCCCTGACTGTCTGATGCTGGTGTCTGGTCTTGTTTCGTAGCTCTTTCATGAGGGGCACTCCATGTCCAGCAGCATGTTTGCTTCCACAGTAAAACACCATCTGTAGCTCTGCACCTGCTCTTCACCCTGCCTGTGTTTGTGTGCAAGAGTCTTGGCCCTAGACACTTCCTCTGTCTTCTCCTGCCTAAAACCCACCTCTTTATCTTGTCTCCATTGGGAACCAGTTCTCATTAGTAATGTTCTAATTGAACATTACCAATGTCTAATTGACTCTTGAGTCTCGCATTTGGATCCACTTAGTTCTTCTGAAGCTTAAGCAC